CAGAACTCCAGATCAACTCAGAAAAAACAGAAATCAGAATTACAAAAGCATGATCCTAGGAAAAACTAAATTAAAAAAAAAAATTCTAACACAGACGAAGTAGTGCTAAATAATTTATTAATTTCTCAATAAGGTATCTAAATTCAATAAACGATGAAACGCACACACACATATACATAATCACATCTACAGAATATTGGAAAACTCACGCGTTCAATGGATCAAGAATTGAATTTCAGATTGATAAGGAAACCCTAGATTTCGTGATCGTCTAAATTGAAGAGATTTTTCGCCTTTATCCCCCTATGTGAAAGAGAGATAATTTAGAAGGAAATCGATGGAAGAAAAATGGAACATGGAGATATTTCCTTCGTCGCTTTGTGGAGCGTGACGTCAGTTTGATGAGTGGGTCCCATACCGTAAAGATCTCTAATTTATTTAATAAAAACGACCAAAATATTTAAATTAATAAATAAATAAAGGAAAACTCTCGTGATACATAAAGATTGGTACACAATGGTGACACCATTATATACCGACCCTTATGTACCCATAGACCAACCCATAAATAAACCGGGATTTGGAACAAATTTTACCTTTCTCGTTTCACAAGCAAACGAAGCCTAAAATGACCTGTCCTGTAGATCATTCATTTCTGACTTCTTTTGGTTTGGTCATTTGATTTAAATAAAAGAACACACTGGATCGTGTTTGGCAAGTTTAAAAAGCTTACTTATAAGCATGTAAAACTAATATTCGCTCAAAGTAGAAAATAAATAAATTACTCATTCAACACCAACATAACATTTAATTAACAAAAATAAATAACTTTTTTTTTTAAATTTATAATTAGAACAAGCAAACTACACGAGCAGGTAGTATCTTAACCCATCATAAATCAATTTTTGCAGAATTTCAAACGCAACAACCTTGTTTGGTTTTGATTATTTCATAATTACTTCTCTATCACACTCATTTTTTATTCTACATTCACCAAAAGCAATCATTTTTAATCCCACATTCCCAAGAAGAAAACACTTTCCAAAAATCATTTCTCAAATTTTTTTATCGAAGGCAGTCACATAATTGTGCATTCACTACATAATTCATACCTGTAAATATTGAAAGCCCGTTCTTTCCTTTTTGTTCTTGTTGGTACTTTTCCCGATGACTAGCCAAGGCAAGGGCCTTGGAGAACAATTTCTCCACCAGTAAGAATGGAGAATATGCAATGAAGCCAGGCGGGCGTCTTTTAAATGCAACTACATACCAATGATGCATCGCAACACAGTCACGAGTTTTCAACAAAGGTACATCCATCAAAATTCCACCTAAAAGATAGTTTTGTCGGAAAGAGTAATATGTTACAAACAGAACCATTGAGTTAAAAGAGTACCAAATGAAAACGAGTTTTAAATCAGTAAAACTATAGCAAGTCCATCTATCATAAAGCAAGAGGCACCCAAAGTTTATTCCAGAAGACAAAAATGTAAAAAGACATTCATCTCCATCAGTATGTAGCTCGACAACTTTGCTGCTCCTACCGCATTGGCTGCTGGTTGTAATGGTTCTTCTCTTTCTTCTTAGCAGCAGCAAGTCTTGCACTCCTTGCAGCGGCTTCCACAGCTGCAGCTCTAGCAGCGGCGTCCATCTCTTTGCTAGATTTCTTCTTCTTAGAAGATGCCAACTTCTTCAGACGCTCCTTCACATCAACAGCAGATGCATCTTCTTCTCCCTGTTCGGTTCCAGCAGCTTCTTCTAGACCATTAGAAACATTCGAGCAGTTGGCTTGATCCTCATGTTCCTTAACCTCCTTTGAAACCTTATCCTTCTTTTTCTTCTTTTTTGTACTTTTAGATTCTGCAGGGAGATTATCCTTCTTCTCAGCATCTCCATTCGATTCACCTTCTTTCTTTTCTTTAGTAGCATCTACAAGTGCACAAAGAAAGGGTACCTTCAGTCTGAACGATAGTCAATTTAAAATGCTTATACACTGTTATCTTACTAGTAACTGGATAATATTCTGCTGACAAGAACTGGCAAAGACAATGAAAGTCCACACTATTTTCTAATTTGGTCCTATTAAGTACCAATTATACAATAATAATCATGCATCTCCACCAAAGATAGTCCAAAATGATAAAAATTTTCACTCCCAAATAAATATTACCAGTTGACTCATCTTGCTCTTTCTGTGTAGGGGTAACTCCAAGATCAGCCAAAATGGCATCCAGTTCCGCAAGCTCCTTTTTCTTTCTCTCCTTCTTGGAGAGCTGTCTTTCTGTTTCTTTGACTGCCTGAGAAGTTTCTACAGGCTTTTTCACAATTGGATCAGGCTGCTCTTGCACCTCCGCTTCGTGATCATGGTCTTCCTCCACATCATCATCACCTTCTTCATCAAGAAGTTCTTCACTTTCACTTTCCTGAAATTTGGATGGACAAACCATCCATAAGACATAACATGTATCACAAACAAATGCATGAAATACTGACAGTAACTAAAGGAACAAATGCAGCAAACAACGAAAAGCAGAGCTTCAGTATTTCAAAGGAAGAAGCAAAAAAATTCCGGCTAACACCACGACACAAGTAAACATCTGTGGTCCAGAAATCACCAAAATCACCACTGCTAACCATTCATCACCATTATAATATATTTGCCGAGTAAATCTGCTACTATTATAGGGAAATAGAGCAAGAGAAGTTTGTATCGTGTCAAATATCTTAGGTTCTTCTCACATTCCATCTATTAAAAACAAGGTAAATATTGAGAAGATTGTTGTTTATGAAAAGAAGCAAAAAGAGGAAAGAGAGCCATTCTCTTTCTTTCATAAAACATTGACGTCATTCCCCAAAAGGGAAGGGGGGGGGGGGGGGGGGGT